TGGGAGTTGAAGTCCACTCATCTTAAAGTGGCCAAGTTTGGACAACACTGGTTTACAGTTCAGGGTAATGGGCAAAACAGGTCAATTTAATCACACGGTTATGTGTGTGGTGTTAAAACTGCCCTCAAAAAGGCTCCCAAGTTGCTTCTGCTTTGGTTTATGGCGTAGCACGTTGTGTTTGGTTGGCTCAGTCCACAAACTAAGATTAAAACAAACTGTGGCTAAGCATACCATACAAATCTATCCCCCTCTGCTTCTACCTCTGCGGATTTCAGTTCGGTCTCTTTAAAGGCAGGCACGATGCCCACGGATTTTTGTGTGCCAAATCATGTCGTGTATAGCAGTCGTGCACAGCCCCAGGCGCTGTAGATGTGGTGGACTACAACTCCCTTCACTTGCGCCACCCCATCCGATGGCTGGGGATAATGGGCATTGCAGCATAGCACGCCTGGAAGGTGTCACATTTCCAGAGCGTCACTGAACGTCTTCCCAAAATACATGAGAGCGATTTTATTTCGCGCAAGGGCAACGACAGGCGTCCAATAGCCTTCCGATAGCAGGTTCTTCCACGATCAGAAGTACCACATCTTAATTTGTAGCCCGATGGCGAGCTGCTTAAAATGGTAGTTACTTGCAAACCCTAATGAAGCTCAGCTGTGAGGCTGCATTATGAGAACGCGGCGACTAGGTCTTTGCGTGGCCTTGTCGAGCGAGCTGTCTGAACGCAGCCTTTCGATGTCCCCACGACTGGGCCACGCTCTCTACGTGATAAGCAGACGCTGTGTGTTTGGAAAGGTGGGGTGGTATCCGACAAATCCCAGAGGGGAGCTTGGAGCATCAGTTCCCACTTTGAAGGGCTGCAGGAACCCCCAAAGCACACATTGCTTTCTCCCCTTTCCAAACTGGGTGACCCCTGGTGGCTTGTGGCCGAATCAGTGGTCTGTATCCAGGGTTGTTTTCCAGGGTTGCAAGGGGCGGAGGGGGGGAGAGGCTCAGCCTCGGAAGCCCAGCTGTTGAGGGCCCCAAAGGATGTTTTCCCTCCTTGTCTGGGACCAGGCCCCTTGGTGGCTCGTCTGTCTGTCTGTCTGTCTGTCTGTCTGTCTACTGTTGGAGGATGATAGACGTCCAACCCTGTCCCCCCCCCCCCCC